AAAACATCACGCCGCGAAAAGAATTCAAAATACGCCTCGTTGACACGTAAAACTAACAAACCCACCAACACACAAAAGGGGCACTTAACGCGACGGCACAATTATAATGATTTCCTGACAATCAACCGGGAGACGCTCTCGAACAAGGAATGCGCGGTACGAATCCTAGACCGTATATCTACTCGGATCGCTCGTGCACAATTCCGCATCACCCGAACAAGTTAAATATTGCAAAATTCACATATCCACGTAGCGAAGTAACACGCACTTAATCTAACTATCTAGACCCTACAACGGTCGAGTGAATTTCGGCCGCGATAAACGAGCTACGCGGGTTCCCCGCATCGCACCCAGCGGGCTACTCTCTTCGCCCACGCGTCGAGCCACTGGAAGCCGCACACCACCGCCCCACCTGGCGGTGTTTATCTCACCTACATACTATTGGGTGACGTGACAGCTCGAACGCAATTGGATGGCGTTCAACATGACCAAATTTGGGCATAAACAACCGTTCTACAATAAAACAGTGCTTAATTCCTGGAATGAGAGTAACGTTCTTTTTTCTTTAAATTATTAGCATAAAAATAATGGAAATAATGACGATCCACAAAATTGGATACACATTATATTGTACCTTTTATTGGAATATAAATAAATAAGACAATGCTAGTGTAACTATTTCACGCTGGTATTCTGTTATTACACATATTCTGTTCTATTGAACAGCATAAAGTGGCTCAATCTTAAACGGCGGCCATAAGTGGAGATGGAGACTTTTTAGTAAAGAAGTATTTCATCTTCTGGTTAAAACGCATCTGCATTATCTGAAATATGTAGTTATGTCCTACGTTTTTAGTTTATTTATCAATGGATAAAACCTATGTCTTCTCCACACTTCTTTTTCTTCATCATCCCTTAAAAATTCACTGCTGTACTTGGGTTTTGCTTTAATCGTAGGCCTTGGCAGGTGAATTGATAATCGCAAGACCAGCAAAAGGACAACGCACCTGCAATTACCAGGGAAAGATGCAGTTAAGCCGCGTATCGATTACGCGCTACCAGAGGTCGAACATTAGCGCGCGCTCCAGCCGCGCGAAATGGATACCGCCTTGGAGCGCGTGCGAAATCGTTCGTTGGAGTCATCCACGAAATGGGCTGGAATGATGGATTCTCTCACGTCACCACTATACTGCAATCCACCTTCACCATACATTATGATAATATAAAACTTTTCACTTACATATATTCGAGCTGTCGCGTCAACCGATAGTATGTATGTGAAAAAACGCCGCCAGGTGGGGCGGCGGTGTGCGGCTTTTGTGGCTCGACGCGTGGTCCAAGGTTTTTAGTTGCCCGCTAGCCGCGAGGCGGGGAACCCGCGTAGCTCATTTATCGTGGCCGAAGTCCACGCGACCGTTGTAGGGTCCAGATAGTTAGATTAAGTGCGTGTTACTTCGTTACGTGGATATGTGAATTTTGCAATATTTAACTTGTTCGGCGATGCGGAATTGTGCACGCGCGCGTCGAGTAGATATACGGTCTAGGATTCGAACCGCGCATTCCTTGTTCGAGAGCTTCTCCCGGTTGATTGTCAGGAAATCATTATAATTGTGCCGTCGCGTTAAGTGCCCCTTTTTGTGTGATGGTTGGCTTGTTACTTTACGTGTCAGTCAACGAGGCGTATTTTGAATCTTTTCGCGACGTGGTGTTTTGATGTCGAATGAAGGAACTTAGTTGTGTTTAACGCTGAATCGTATGACTCATTGAGAGATCGCTTTAATTCCCTATTTATAATTTTGTGATAAGTGAATCCGGGACATTGAATGTCGAATTTTGAACTACTGTCCTTACTGTGTCGGGTATCACGTGTTCGATTCTACGATGAATGTGGACTTTGAGTTAGTTAAATGTACAACGAAGCTAATAGACTGAAATAGTGACAATGAAGAAAGAAATGGTCCAGCGGTGAAGCCTGCTGGAGCGATGCAGCATTTTGGGGCAGCCTGGAACTCGGCCGCTGCTGGTCGCCTAAGGTGGTCAAAGTCTCAGACATTTACACATCACTGAACACTACTTGCCATTCAACTTACACCCACTCACGGCCTGACCGAGCCTTGGTGCTAAGTTAGCTTCTGATACTGGTACGTAATATGTGTTTCTAGCATTCTCCCATATAGCTTAGTGTTATAGGAAGTTCTTCCATGTGTCCAATCGGGCCCGACTTGCAACCAGCAACATGGTTTTAGGTGCCCATGTGTGCGTCCGGTAGCATTACCAATGCAGGAGCATCTGCTCCGAGCTCACCAACCGTCGAGCTGCTGGGCCACCACCAACAAGCTGGGTATAAGCAAAACTTTCAAAAAATTTATGGCCATGGGCAATTTCAAGTTTTATATCCAGGTGTTAAAAAAAACAAAAACAAAGAAATGTTATAAAGATTTGTATTTCACTTTCGCAAGTAATACAATATAATATATAAATTCCATCATAACTTAACAAAATACTGATCTCACAAACAACCATAACAAATAAATAACAGCCTTGTTTCACATCTGTTTCACCTATAAAACCAGTCATGTGAAAAACTCCAGCTCAGCTCCACAAGAGATATATAATATGAAAAGAGAAAATATATACATATATCTTTAAAAAAAAGTATATAAGCAACTGATTTACTATGGAAATATAATTCAAACGGTTCGTAAAATGCATTGAGAAAATGCACACTGAGTTAAAAAAAAACTGCATTGGTAATTAACCAATTGCGACTCTTTCGGGAGTAACTGCGCTCGTGATAAGAATAGGATCGTGATTGCTGACAACTTCACTCTCCGTCACTTTTGTACTGGCAGCAAAATATGTTAATTGAAATCCTCTTTTTTTTTAAAGTAAATATTGACATATTTTGTAATTGTAAGTGATATAAAAATATCAATCCACCATATTAAAGAAATTTAAACCGCAGTAACCTAATGATTAGCGGTACAAACGGCGAAACAACGTCGTGAGTTTTAATCATAGTTGGAGTGGTTTTCTGTGTCACTACCATAAAAACATGCGTGAGTGTCGTGCAACACTCTGTTGGAACGAAGTTTCTTTCGTATTATTTTTTTTAAACTAGTAATGCTGTTAAACATTACTAATATTTTCTTAAACCACTTCTGGTAAGCTTAAAATGCTTGTGTTAGAAGCGGATCACGAGAGTAGTCGAATGGCGAATATATATGAACCCATGACTTTTCGAGTTCGCGGTCCGCGCTCTGCCATTAGGCTACTGACGCTTTTAATATTATTATTGATAAACGTATTATATTATTGATTAACAAATACAAATAAATAAATTACTAGCGTCTATTAAAATGAAGCGTCATTTAAAATAAAATAATATTTCTTTCATGGCAAGATAAGAAAAAGTGCGACGGAGATGGAAATTATTCCATCTCGCTTCATTATAGCCGCCAAGACCGTCTACACTACGTCAGAAGGGGTCGTGACGGAAAAATCTTACACTTTTTGTCGCCTAGTCCCCATCCACTGAATTCGTACCGTCCGATAAAGAACTTCGTTCCAATAATACTAGTTGTGACAATATTTAATAATAACCACTGGGAGGGAATTAGGTGATCGCTACCATAGTGTTGCTAAATTTTTCATACTAATTGTATAAAATAATATATTGTAAATTGATTTGATTTAGAAAAAGTCCCGCTGGTTTTCTTGCTGATTCTTCCCAGGACAGAGGTTTTTTTCCGTTTTATTAAGTGGCGAAGCTTGCGAAGTCACTTACTGATTTCACGATGTCTGTCCCACGATTATCTCGAGAACGGTTTCGAATTTTCAAATTCTCTTTTCAGCACTCGATTACTGATCACCCAGGCATCTGAACCTCCTATTTTGAAACTGATTGCTCAACGGCAACCGTTAGAAACCGCTACAAAGCTGATTGCTTCGCCACTTTGCTATGCTGTTAGCTTGCTAGGTTTATTTATTTCAAGAAACATTTATTATAAAATTTACCACAGACTTGAAGACCGTGCGAAATGCGAAGTGAATCGTCAGTGCGACAGTCCTATTCTTATCATGGGTGCATGGTAAATTTCTTTGAAAAACATATTACAAAATTACAATACAAAAAACTGTATAGTTTATATTATCATTCACATTTTAAATCCTACCTTTATATTTGTTCTTAAAAAAAAAAAGTATTGAACCATCCATTTTATTTTAAAATCGGAAATTATTTGAAGGACACTGAACAAAAATGCCTTTCATTATAAAAATGTATCAAAATTTATATTTTCGTAAAGTTATATAAACCTCAGATGTTAAGAGCATAATATAATATTTATAACAGATAATGTATGTGACTTCATAAATTTTATAGGTGAAATAATTATTTTTCTTTTTCAATCCAATTATAATAGTCAATAGGAATGTCATTTTCGACAGTGCGGCGCCAAAACATATGAAGGCCTCTGCCACATACATACTTTAATAGTACAAATATTTTTTCAGAAATCTGTTGTATAATATCATTCTTTATATAAAACAGCCCGCAAAATGAGCTTCAAATTGCTCCAAAAAGATACAAGTCTTAGTATAACATGCGTCATAATTGACATTAAGTAAAAAAAGAAATTGTTCGCTTCACAAGATTTTACCACTTAGAGAAATAGATCAATTACAAAATACGAAAATCTGTACACTATTAATCATTGCTCAAACTGTTGTAACGTGGCATAAAAAATCGACGGTTTATCTCCATGCCCGATTTTGTTTTATCGTTTCCATTTACATCTACTTGCAGAAGCATTTAATGCAAAAATCGCACCTTGTTCCCCATTTAACTTCAATGAATTATTGTCATATTATAGAGAAAAATCGTAAACATTTCCAAAAATATATTGCAATGATTTTTTAGTATAGTATATTAAACAGTTTTAATGTGGTTGAATCGATAGAGTTTTGGTAAAACCTTGCAGCGGAACATTCATGCGTGTTTATTTGACATCAATGGTAGCGACGACTCCGGGCTCGGGGTTGCCGGGTATGACGCTGTTGCTTTCATCAAGGATTTTTTTGTCCTGTCTTCGGTTGTCGTAGCTGTAAAGTTGAAATAGTGCGTTATATGTGTAATTCGCTTTAAAAAAGAACGAATTAAACGTAAGCTTTAAATTAAGCGCTACTGTCAATGTTAGATTTGGCTAAAAACTAAGTAGGTCGCTGAATTGAAGTCCGAATGTTAATAATGCAAGCGAGACAAACATTTTCTTAAGATTCTTGTAAAAGTTTTGTATCAAAGTATATAAAAATATATTATGAATTTTCTAATCAATACGTGTTTAAAACAATCCAAAAGATTTAACGGTTATCCTTTATTGTATGAAAATATTTTCTTTATCGGTATAATACAATACAGTTTCAAGTGACATACTGTTGGATAGACAAAGTATGCAAGTAATATTGTATTTTATATTATATTGATACACATATTAGGTGTATTATATTAAGAGTCATAGTATAGACCCATTTACGTTTCTGAAAAGGTAACAGAGCAGAGTCCGCCACGCTGATTTATTGAGAGTTGAGACAAAATTTAAAACAATTACAGAACTACAACAGTTTATAAATTAAAACATTTTTTTTATAAAGGGTTAGTAATAATGCTTAATAAATTAATAATATTAACATTTGAGTGCTGTGGTAGCTCAGGGCCTAAGCGCTCGCTATAAATTTCACAGTACGCGAGCAAGCTGGGTTCGATCTCCGTCGGCACCAATGAAATCGTTAGTTGCAATTTTATTTCTGATTTACCACGTTCTCGGCGGTGAAGGAAAACATCGTGTGGAAATCTGCATGTCTGAGAAATAAGAACAAAAAATATTTCGAAGACATGTGAAGTTCGCCAACACGCATTGTGGCAGCGCGGCGAACCTTTCCTTGCCCTAAAACCCTCTCAGAAATGAGAGGAGGCCTGTGTCCAGCAGTGGGACGTATAAAGGCTGTAACTTTAACTTTTAACATATTAAGTTATTAGTTGGTATTGAACGGGATTAATTGCTAAATTTAAAACTAAAATAAAAATGTTACAAGGAACTATGAACGGAGACTTTTTCTATAACATTTAATAAAACACAATCAAAATAAAATTTCGCTTAAACAATTAACAAAAGCAAATTGATGGTAGAAATTTGAGAGAAAATTAAAGAAATCTGGGAATGAATATAGGATTCAAGATTTATGTTTTTATGTACATGAACATGGTAACATATTTAGAAGCAGTCTATTTACAAGATCTGAAAAAGTATTTCTAGACGACTACTATGACTAACTCGCAGAAATTTGAAGTCAATTGGTCACTGACCAATGGATATCTAAGTTATTACGCATTTAAGGAAATGATTAGTAAGCTTTCTATTAGAAACACATAAAATATTTCCATTAATGATGACTAACGCTATGATACTCTTTCTCTCAAATTTCTTCAACAGTGTGAGTGCAAGCAATTTCCCCCTCCAGATTAGTGAACCACCACCAGTTTTGACCCGTACTGTAAACTGCGATGGCGACATACCTCCCAAACTAAGCAGATCGATATGGTAATGATGTCGGGTGGTGACAAATTTATATGGAAAATAAGAAAAAATCAATTTAAAAAGTAGAACATTATATAATAATTCTTTAAACATTGTTTTTCCTAGATTAGATGTTTTCTTATATTTTTAAGGACGATGATGACAATATTGGGTTATCATCACCATGTCATGTCAATCAATGTGTTGAGCTTTATTCACTTAATTTCGGTAACTTTAATTTAAATAGTTGAAAGTTTTATTAGACAATTATTGACTTTAAATAAAGAAAAAAAAAAGGTAAGATATTTGTAAACGTTTATCGTAGAGATGTAGAAATAGTATTAATTCAAAAAGAAAAAAAAAATTAAAAACAAATTTCAACAAATAAAATACACAATGTTAATTTACTAACACTCTACGTTATTTGTAAAGTGGTATAGTAATATAAAAAAAAATGCTGGTAATTAACAGTCAAGTATATAAAATGAAATAAAGAATTTTTGTAAGTGGCAATTTGTTAATAGGGATGTTTTCTTCTATGTTTAACATTTGTCTATCTGAATTATTTTTTACCGACTTCAGAAAGGAGATCGTACTCGATTCGACTGTATGTTTTTTTATGTGTGTTACCTCATAACTTTTTTCTGGGTGAACCGATTTCGATGATTCTTTTTTAATTGAATGCTGGTGCTTCTTATGTGGTCCCATATAAATTTGATCAAAGTCTGACCAATAGCTTTTGAGTTATTCTCAATCATTTATATTGAAGTCGGTTGTACAGAATTTTTAATTATAAATTATTTCTTAGAACCAACTGTTCTCCTAATCCTAGACAATCAATGTTAGGTCAAAATACCCTAGTGTTATTGTATACTTAATAGATCCAAGAAATTTTATTAATATAGCTATGAACATAATTTTTTGATATGTTTTTTTCTTATAAAAACGTAAATAATGCCCCTGTATGAATACGTAAACAATTCTAATAAATTTGCCCAGTAAAGTTAATTATTACTATATACAGGTGGCGCCACGTTAAGCACAATTAATGATACCAGCAACTCTACATAGCGTTTTATTATCGTACACAGAAAATCAATCAAATACATTCAGTAGTTTAGACACAGGAATTTTATTTCGTTTTAGTAATTTTTGCACATGATGTATATACATCACTTCACGAGGCGAAGGTCGATAGAGGTCAAACACGTGTGGCTTCAAAATAAAAAAAGCGACGTTGCCATTTTGACATTCTATTGGAATCAAATGTCCCTTCACTAAATCAAATCTCTCGACTTCTGAATAAATTTTAAAGGCGCGGCGGAATTTGTAGGAATTATTCTTTATGAAACCCAAATGCAACAGCGAATGAGCGAAGGACAGCGGCATTAATGCTCACAAAAGTGATAATACATTAAAGGCTATCTAATTTATGTTTATTTTTTAATATACATTTAATAAATATTCACCCTTTTAATTTTGACGTGAGAGAACAAATCAAACGAAATACTTTCTCGAACTAGTAATGACTGAGTTTTCATTTATTGTATTTAATGTAACGTCAACCTGTATAGTGTTCGTAGGATTCTGTTTTATTTTAGTTAAAATATAAATAAATAAAAATACTACTCTGCAAATGTTTTTTCATCCCACTGATAAACAATATCGTGTTTTTATATAATATTGCACACATTTCAACGGACACATTAAACATCACACAAAATTATTTGTCAGATGATACTCACCATCCCTTTATCTTCTGGTAGATGTAGATAGCTGTCATGGGAATGGGAGTCATAATAGCAACTGCCACCGGTACAACTGTAACAATTTTTTATGATATTTTAATGCGAAGTAGTAATGTTGGCGTTATACGATCGACTAAATGCCCAACTCCACACCCACACACACACAAAGCCCTCCGTATAGATGATGCAAAAAAACCTTGGTGAGAACTAAGATTGCAAGTCGGCCGAATAATACAATTAAGGGTAACCGATTTTTCAATCTTCAGTCAAAAGTTATCTAACAAATAAATTATAATCTGAATTAATATAAAAGTCAAACAATTGAATTATTTTATTAATAAAACTGTAATTTTTAATTTGGTTAGGGTGTATTTTATTCTATGAATAACTTTTATCTTACGATTGTAAAATCGGCCCTAAGTGTTAGTATTCAACCGTAAAGTGTCAAATGAATTGGTTTAAAAACTTAGCCTTACTTATAATCGTCTTTTTCTATTGTCATTTAGGACTTTAATGATAATACTTAACAAAAACTAAATTGACAAGCGAATTTAAAGTCCTGGAGCAAACTTTAAACAAAAAAGGCTAAAGATGCGTTGCGTTGTCACTTCTGAGGTTTAAGCGTGTGAGATAGAGTGAAAATGAGGGAGAGAGAGGGAGCGAGAGATAGGGAGTGAGAGGGGGGGGGAGTATTGCTTATATTGACGTCTACTCTTATGGTGAGTAAGACCGTTAAATCCGACGCCATGGACCTCAAATCTTCCAAATATTGGACCCATTACTACAACTTCCAAATAGGAAGTTAATATAAATTTACCTGTGGTAAGATCTGCTTCGGGTTGCGGCAAAGCGTAACGCAACAGGAAGATTGCGATGCCGGTATTCTGGATGCCGGTCTCAATGGATATCGCCAACGCGTCGGGGTGCGGTTGGCGGCAAACTCTCGCCAGTAAATAACCGGCGGCGTAGCCCAGCCACGGGACTCCCATGCCTGCGACTACGATCTGGAATCAGAAAGAAAGAAAGAACATATTTATTCGTTGCTGCAACTTACTCTTACATAATATTGATTTTACACACGAAAATAAAATACTTAACAATATATTTAAAAATAAAAAACATATGGATTGCAACAACAAAATATCCACCGGCTCAGCATAATGCTACAGTAGGAGAGTTAACGCAGCGCTGATATTCTATGAATAATTGTTCGTTTATATCGTCATTACCAAATAAGTATAAATCATTCAATGTGCTTCCTATGTTAATTAAGATTTAAGGATATAATATTATCTGCCTCAGTTTTATCTAGATACTAGCGATAAGCCCCGACTTCGCACGGGTGATTTCTGAATCTCGTCATCAGCACCTACCCGGTCCAAATGTGAATCAAAGTCATCTAGGCACCCATTCAAACACACACGCAAAAAATTTCATCAAAATCGGTCGAGCAGTTTTTTGGAGTTTTAGCGAGACTAACAGACAGAAATTGATTTTTCAACCGACCTAAAAAAGGAGGTGAGGTTTATATTCGTCGGAACTTTTTTTTATGTACCGATTACTCGAAGACGCCTGAACCGAATCGGAAAATTCTTAGTTTCAAAGGGTATACTTCCCATGTGGTCCCGTTGAATTTTTTTCGAAATCGGTCGAGCAGTTTTAAAAAAAAACAACAGTTAATTATATTTATATTGAAGTCGGTTGTACAAAATTTTTAATTTTACTACTTGTATATATTATAGAGATTATGTGACTGGTGTATAGGTATTGCTTATGTCAAATTTGTAGGTATACATTTTTTGGAGAAGACAATAGGGACGGTTAATTTTATATTAAACTACCAGGGCGGCATAATCGCATCAGCGACAAAGCCCTGTATCTATGAATTAAAAAAAGTTTATATCAGCCTACAGGTTTTAATAATATGTTTATATAGTCCTATCTGGGTAACAGCTAGTAATGTAAAAATTAAACCCATAATTCATTCAGCCTATCAAAGTTTACCGCTGAACACAAGCTTCCCCTTTAATTGTCTTAGTAGCTGCTCCCGGGTCTTCGCTCGTGTGGTATTTATTATGATAGGATTTTACGTCTTTTAATTTTTTTTTGCGCGGAACCCTAATTCTTCTTCTAAAATAAAAGTAGCCTTAGTTACTCCTTATAAAATCAGCTATCTGCCAGTGAAAATCCCGTCAAAATTGTTCCAACCACTTCTGAGATTAACCGGAACAACAGAATGACAGACAGACATTTAAAATTGTTTTTTTTTTGTTATATGTACCGTATATACTTTCATATGCATTTAGCAAAAAGCTGTTATTTTGACATTAAAAACAGATAATTCAATTTTATTTATTAACTAGCTGTCCCTCGCGACTTTGCCCGCGTAGAATTTACTACGATTTCAAGAGTTTTAATTTTTTTGCGCGGAACTCTGATTCTTTTTCTAAAATAAAAGTATCCTAAATTACTCCTTATAACATCAGCTATCTGCCAGTGAAAGTCCCGTCAAAAGTGGCCGAGTCGCTTCGGAGATTAGCCGGAACAAACAGACAGAAAGACAGACAAAAATGTTAAAAATTGTTTTTTTTTTGTTATTAGTGCTGTATATACTTTCATATGCATTTAGCAAAAAGCTGTTATTTTGACATTACAAACAGATACTTCAATTTTATTTATTAATAGAAGATAATAGATAAGAGTGATATGCCTTGGTTGTCACACTTGGCAATCAGGTTGGCAATTGCTGTTTTTTATTTGTTATTAGTAAACCGCGACTGCCATCTCCTGACTTGTTCCCCCTTCCGCCTCTTACAACACCCACGGGAAAATATGGACTATTGAACATTCTTACACCGCCACTACACGCCAATCAAACCAACAATTAGACAAATCATGACACAGTAACGTTCTAAGCTTGGTTTGATATTCAGAGGTTGAAAAAAAATAAAATGTATCTAACAAATGTTCATAAGAAATCTTACCTCCCACGTGAACAGTTCGAAGATGTACAGATTGGTGACAATGGCGAAAATGATGATAAACAGCAACAGGGTGGTCGAAAATCCTTTGAGGATGCGGACCATGAACGCGGAAAGCCGTGGAGTCCATTTTTGCATTGCGAGACCTATGCCTAAAGGCACTATAAGGCCCACAACAAAAGTTGCAATACGGGTGTATGGAACGACAATGTTCGCGTTACGGAACACCACCTGGCCGAGTGAGAACAGCCAGAGGGGCATGAAACCTGAAAAAAAATATAATTATATATATATGTTCATTCCATACATCCAACCATTACAGGTTATTGTTGAACATAGAACTCCCCCGTAAATTTCCCCATAGGGAATGTAAGCCTGTAAGCTCAACATAGGTCTTCCCCATAGATTGGCCAATAGAGAGGACTTTGCCATAGTTGCCACACTTGGTAGGCGGGTTGGCAACCGCAGTTTTTTTACAAATAATATATTATATGCTATTTCATTAAACATACGTAGATTTTAGGCTGCTCGAACAAGTGTGCTAGGGGATACATTAAATCTTATAAATTAATCTTGTAATAAAGTCGTACCGAAGGATGCGAGGGTAGAAATGGTGGTCATAGCGAGCGATAGATTGAGGTTCCCCCCGAGGATGAAGGTCCAGATGTTGGAGGCGCCGCCGCCCGGCGCTACGCCCGTGCAGAACATGCCCAGCCGCATCTCCGGGAGCGACGGGAACACCAGGAAGCCCAGCCCGAACGACATCTGCAACCACATACACGCGTTCAGCTAAAAGCACCGTAAACTTAAAACAGAAAGTGATATAGGTAAATGTATGAAATTCATGACTCCAAATGTCAAACATATAAATTTAAACTAATGTAAGTTAAATTGGGGAAGAACTGAGTCTTGTGAATTCCACAATTTTTCTTGGAATAACACTAGACGCGAAGCTTCAATGGAGCCCCCATATATCTAAATTAGCACGCACACTTAATTCTGCAGCATATGCTGTAAAAAGATTAGAAATCTTACCAGTGTTGTTAACGGTTAGACTTGTTTGCTTTAGCTATTTCCATAGCAAAATATCGTATGGTATTTTGCTAAGGAGACACGCGACTGACACTAAAATTATATTTGTTTTACAGAAAAAACCTACAGTCGCTCCGACCAAAATTTAAGGAGATTAGTATATTAAATTTGGCTTCTCAATTCTCATTACATTTATGAAAATTTTATGTACATACACAAAAATAAGTAATATTCATTCTGTAAATACTATACAAGTTAGTAGCACCAGTTACTCGACTTCACCGAGTCAGTAATACATTCTTGGGGCGACACTTTTACAACAAAATCCCAGAAAATATACAAAATTTGACCTGCTCAAAGTTCAAAAACTTTATTAAACAAAGTTTGTATAAAAAGGGTTATTATAATATTAAGGAATTTATGGATGATAATAACACTGGGAATGAGGTGATCGCTACCAGGCTATTTCTAATTTGATTTGTGTTGTTAATTGTATAACATATATGATTGTAAACTGTTATTTAAAAAAAAAGTCCTGCTAAATTTCTTGCTGGTTCTTCCCAGGATAGAGGTTTTTTTTTGAACCAGTGGTAATTAAACAAAAGAGTGACTTTCAATAAGTATTATTTATAATCTACATTGAATAAAAAGTTTCTGTTTCTGTATTTAAATTAGTTCCATTAATGAATTCATTAATATAGAAAATGAAGAGTGGTCGAAACAAACAGTCATTTGGGGAGCTAAAAATAGAAATAGTGTCCCTTAATGTTTTTCATTTAAATTGACAACAGTTTACGGAATTAAGATATGTTAACAAAACATTATTAAAGAGTTTCCTTATTAAGATAATCCAAAAAACAATTTAAAGGAAACACTTAAAACAAGTAAGACCTTCCTTGACGAAACAAAAAAGACAAGGTAAAGATAAGAATTGAAACGAAGTTACATTAACATAACATAGCGCGTATTTTGTATGTAGTCAAAAATAATGCACTTAATCGGAACAACCTAATACCTCGAAAAAGTTCACCAAACCCTTACTATTATATAGGTATTTCGAGATAATCTCAAGTTCAAACTCAAACTCGACACTGTCAAAATTTTAGTTTTCACCATACACATACGACTGCCTCGTTGATCTAGTGGTTGCAAACGCGACTGCTGATCATGAAGTCCCGGATTCGAATCCCGGATCGTGCCAAAAAAATAGTTATTAAGTTTTCCGTCAAGAAATTCTCAATAGCTGCCCAGTCAGAAAGTTGGCGGTGTCTCATCCCCGTGCCTCGGAAAGCACGTAAACGTAAAGCCGTTGGTCCTGCGCCTGATTTCTCTCCGGTCGTGTCAGTTTACCGTCCCAACGGACTATGAGAGTGAGGGAATAGAGAGTGCACTTGTACTTGCGAATACACTTACACTATAATCCTGTCCTGCGCCGATGGCTAGTGACCGAAGTTCAGTCTGTATGACATTATTATTACTATGTTACACAAATTTTGACATTGTAGAGTTTGAGTTTAAATTGGTCACTTCGGGGAGTGACAGAAATTTATACTATAAGTGGCAGCCCCACACAGACCAGCAAAGCCGTTGAATTTCCTTCCCCATTTACACACCATGCATGGACGACTTACAACACTTCGTTGTTCACAGCGTGTTTTTGGCCTAGTGTTAAATCTACAGTTACAACAACTGACCAATGCAACAAAAGCGTGTAGATTCGCGGTTCCTATAATCCAATAAATGTTTCGATCTTTATGACGATACGTTTTATTATATACGAAATGCATATAACAGTTAAAATTACTTTACAATATATTCGTTCGGCTTATTAAGACAAATTGATATTATGAAACAAATTTAAGTCGTAAGTTGTTGAAATACTATTTTGTTTTATGCAGGCGGTATCTCAATGCACTTCATGTACTGTAGGGAGAGTAAATTAAAAAAAAAATTCAAATAAGGAAACCTGGCATTACCGACAAATTTTTAACACCAGATTTATTTCAGCAGACTAAAAGGAAATAAAATAATTCTGTGTATGAAACATTTTTAAGACTTACCAACGGCATAAAGAGGAACTGTCCACACATGCCAATGATAGGGCCGATCGGCCTTTTAATTACTTCCTTTACCGTAGGCCAATGCATGGCGCAACCAAAGTTTATGAATATAAGCGATACCTGAAAATAGAGAAAGCGATTTGTAATAACTTTTGATACGAAATACTTTCAACAAAAAATGATATCGTGAAGAAGTGAGACTGTCAAAATACATAAAAACTTTGGTTTTTATTTTTGTTATTTTACAATCTACCAAAAATATGGTGACCTTTGAATAACTTACAAATGTGGCAACACTGGACGTAAATATAGTATCAATGATTCGCTCCGGACGGATCACAGTAACGGGCATCGTACCATTAACTGGACGAACAGAGGCGCCTCTGCGCAATTCTAGTAAGAGATCTGTCCTACCTGAAATAAAAAAAAATATGTTAGTAGTTTAAAAGATAAATAATCGGGAAGTAAGTAATAATAATATTTTGACGAAAGATCAAAAGAAAAGGGTATATGGTACCGTACGATCCAGCCACACCCAATGCAATCAACCTGGATAGATAACAGAGTATAGTGTAGACGCGACACTGTAACAGCATTAAGATTCAGATCTGGACACATTCCATGCAATAAATTTTTATACTTGATGCGAAAAATTACCTCACCAAATTGTTCAATTTGTAATATTATCGATGATGTTTATCACATTTTGATAGAATGTGCCCAGAACTCACGAGAAAGAGCAAATTGTAATTTACATTTGTCCTTAATAGGTAGTAGTACCTAATAGTATTTTATCCGACCCGTTATCAAATGATGCCAAAAAACTGTATTTGTTAGTTAATAAGAGATTAAGTAACTAGTAAACATAATAAGTTTATTTGTTGAAGACGGTATAACCATCTCGTTTAGATCAGACAAACTACCCGGACCGGTGTCAAACGTGGAAGACGTTTGGTACTCCGATCGTCAATTCGCCTGCCTTGAGTTAATTTTGAGGCAAATGGTCCTTAAAACGGGAGAGGTTGAAGTCCAGCAGTGGACTTTCATGGACTGATGACGATGGAGAAGAATATTCTTCTTAACTCATACACGGCTAGTAATTATTATATTCTCTTAACTCTAGCTCTTTTCAATGAAAATTAAAATCTTAAACATCCAAGATGATGATCGAAAGCAGCAGCTAAGAACGTTTGGTATATTGTATTGGCTAAGATTAAAGTCGAGCGTAGTATTCACGGTAAATGCTCCCGATATGAGAAAGGGCGACGAACAGTGGCCCACCGCACCGTCCATCACCGTCAAGCCAGTATGTAAAAGTGAAATTTAAACAGTGGTATCTCCATCAGAGATGTACAAGTTGCTTGCGTACTAATAAATAGGTAATAATGTCCTCCAGACCGAATTTCGGTCACGGCGGCTCGACTCGACGGAGACTAGCCATCGGCGCAGGACAGGATTATAGTGTTCAAGTGTATGCGCAAAATCGGGTGCACTCTATATTCCCTCACTCTCATAGTCCGACGGGAGGGTAAACCAAAAGGACTGGAGAGAGATGAGGCGCAGGACCAACACCTTTATGTGCTTTCCGAGGCACAGGGGTGAAACAACGCCAAATTACTTTATTGAATTTCTTAACAGAAACACCCAATAACTGATTGTGATCTCACCCGGGGTTCGAACCCGGGACTTTATGATCAGCAACCGCTTTCACGATCACTAAGCCTAACGAGGCTTGCGTACTATTGTATTTAAGGCACGCGCCTTACTCTTGAACAATTACACATTTTAAATTGCATTTATATTGCTTACCAAGAAATTTTCCAGAGACTTGCAATCGACCCTGCCATCTCATACTTGATGCTTCTTCTTCTGTGAGTTTATTCGTAGAGTTCCAATCAGCATTCGCCACATGATCGTTTGGAACCTTTACTATAATTTCATCGGCTGGCAGTAGCCCGTTACCTGCAAATAAAAAAAGAAACTACATGTACTAAAATAGGTTTTTATATACTTTTTTTTGCCATTTTGTAAATTAATTAAATATAACTTTCAGAGCGGTTATAACATATTTGTATGCTAAAAATGCAGATAATTTTTTTTTTCATAATTAAATATTTATATTATACAGTATCAAGGGACACAAATGTTGGCTTGAAATGCTACAAGAAACAATAAGAATGGTGACTCCCCTAAAGTGTTAACGTAACTGATAACGGTATCGCGTGTAAGTTTAAATCCACGAGTATTTTCATGTTTCTTAAACAGCATTCCTCAAACGCTTTAGCAAGAATGTGGAAGAGCAATAAATTACAGGCCTGATTCCAAGCACTTACATACCTGTGACGGTAACATTGACGAATTTATAAGCGTCCATATGCACGGTGAGATCGCTAGGGTCGAATGTTGCCAGTAGATTTGGTACCGCCTGGCATACAGCCCACATGGGATACAACGCCAGCAGGTATAAAATGATGATATGCAGTGGCCATATTGGACACATATTGGCTCGCGTCACTGGAGACAAAGAAAAATCATCGTTCATAAATTACAGTTGAGCAAAAAAAACCTCCTATTTAATCAGGGAGGAAGGAGGTGGAACTCTTCCTGTTACTTTTTAATTCTAATTCATTGCGCAGTTCCAAGGCGTTTAGTCAGACTTCACATATCCTCGAATAATCTTCTATGTTGGACCTGCAACCTGCAGGTATTCTCACGATTTTATTTTGTGCTTTAATCCACAAACGTAAACTAAATCTTTGTTATTTCAACTGTTACAAATTAAACTTTTTTTTTTATAAAATGGTGACATATGAGCACACAGTCCACCTGTTGGTAAGTGGATTCTGTTGCCCATAGAACATCTATATCTATCCTCAGTTTAGAATCAAAATGCGATGTGTTGTTACCTCTGAGGTCTAAGATGGAATGCCTAGTTTCCAGTAAAAACATTTTCATTAAGCTGCTATTTTACACTAGTATTCTGCGAGAACGAGGTCCTTGCCCGCTCGAGCCGACTATAAAATAAATTCACATCGATGATGTTAAGCAGGTCAATGTGTAAAGCATTAGATATTGAGATTGTCAACTTGCCTGAAAACATGGCTATTACGGCTAATCTTCTCAGGAAGAAGTTCATAGCCAGCAGCGCACAGTTTACGGTATATTCGATTTGAAGACATTGTCAAGCAATACGTTACAATTACTCTAACATTTTGAATCTATCTCGATACATTAAAGAAAGTTAACTATATTTTACAAAATGCCTGTATTTACAGCGCGGAATTGTTTGCTTATAGAGCCGTTGTATTGTCTCGATATAATGAGCGGATATCGTGTCTCTAGTTGGCGAAAACAATTATATTGTTCCTTCATCTATAGCTTCATCGAAGGCTTCATAAAAATACATACCGGAACTAAAGTATTACTTTACAAACGTAATACTTATACATATTTCAGTTATCAATATAGATAATGGTAAAGACAAATGTTCAGAGCAAAAGTATGAAATTGCCTTTAGTTAAGTTTAAACACCTTCTTTTCTAACAACTTCAAAGAGGAGTAGGTACTCAATTCGACTGGTATGTTTTTTTTTATGTGCGTTACCTCATAACTCATAAACAGAACAAGTACGTGAACCGATTTCGATGATTCTTCTTTTATTTGAAAGCCGGTGCTTCTCATGTGGTCCCATATAAATTTGATCAAGGTCTGACTTATAGTTTTTAAGTTATTCTTAATAATATATATTGAAGTCGGTTATACAAAATTTTTAATTTTAAATTATTTGTATAGAAATAAATATATATTCAATCAAAGTATTTACTCCTATTATCTATATAACTATTACAATTCTGTCATATCGAGGAAGGATAATTTATTAAAACTAGGAATCTGAACTATACAAAGTCAATGAAGGCATTTTGTACAGCTTTCTGAGAACAATTTTTTTTCTTTGCAGTAAATTTTCAAAATTGCGGATAAAGTGGTGATAGGTTGGGGTCTAGGTCTGGCGACTACGGAGGAAGACGCAAGACATAGTTTATAACTGCAGGTCTTGTAATTATAAAACGGTTTGTCGAACAACGTAAGATTGTTTTCATGGAGCAATAATGGCAAAGATAGATTGTTGTTTCTTTGAGAATGTTTTTTTATAGAATAAGGGTGACATATGAGCACACAGTCCACCTGATGGTAAGTGGTTTCTGTGGCCCATAGACATCTACATCGATCTTCGTTTGCGAATTAACATGCAGATGCGTTGTCAGCCGTGAGGACTAAGATGGAATGCCTCTTTTCCAGTAAAATAGGTCTCCGGTTCTATACACTCACCATACGAAACACAGCAGCATTAAGTTGCTATTTTACGCTGGTATTCTGTGAGAGCGTGGTCCTTCCCTGGTCGAGCCGACCCATTCGTGCTATAACTATACTATTAATATAGCTGCAGCATGGCTCTACCACGTATAAAATGTCACCATCATTGTTTAAAGTTCTTCACAATAAACATTTTCTGTTATTGATACACCGGATCACGAAAAGCTAAAGTGAATTAGGTACACTACGAAGTGAACACCAAACTGTTACCATTATTTTTATATGGGTGAGCTTTGCTTTACGATATTTTTACGGCGTAAGCCTGCGTTTAGCCATTGCGTCCTACGTTAGCGATTATCGCAGATAATCCACTTTTTATTACACTTCACAATTCTGTCCAAAATCACTTCTTTTCGGTACTTGCTTATCAAAGCACGGTAAGCTTCAACGCGTGCTCCTCTATGCACATCAGTTAATTCCTGATGCACCTATTTTTCGAGATTTTTTATTTTATTTTAATGAAAAGTCAACATTGTGGGTAAATTAACATCAAGCAATGACACTAATTCCTTAGTTGTTTATAGGATCGGCTTCCACCATTACTTTGAATTCATCGTAATTTACCTTAGTGTCTGGTCTTCCTCATGAATCATTCTTCAAGACAAAGTTTCCACTACGATAGCATTTTAACGAAAAACGCACAGTGCGTTCGTTAGTCGGATTCCCTCTAAACCATCTCCATGTTTAACTTAAATACTTCATTCATAAAAACAATTAAAAATTAAACAATAGAATGTCATAAATTTTTAAATGAATTTAGAACGTTTTATGTAAAAAAAATAATCAAAGTGGTCATACATTAAGGCCCGCCAAATATATTCGGAATTCCGATTCGGGAATCCGAATGCAGCAAGTCGATATAAAATCTATGATCAGTCACACACCTACGGTAGTTTTCCGTTCGAAATTTTGCGGGCAAAACGGAATTCCGTATGTGTGTGGCCAACCCGTCGGAATTCCGAAACGGAATCCTGAAACGGAATTTCGTATGTATGTGGCCGGCCTAAAACGGCAACTTCATGCTTTAACCCCTGTTACCATTTAAATAAATTATTATGATCGTTTATTTTAAGTTTTTTTTTGTTTAGTAGGTGGTGCGACTCCAATTTCTTAGTGTAAATAAAACAAGGTCGGAAACGTTACTTTTGTACCTACTTGAAAAGAGAAAATGTGCAAAAGCCATTAACCAGAAGTTACATCCGGTTTAATAAAAGATAACTTAACAACTATTTGAATAAACTTCAATGTTTCGTTTTAATAGATGTGAATATAAATAATAAATATAAAAAAAACCGCAATATATATATAAACCTTGAATGAAAACGTTTTGAACGTATTTTATTGCGTTTAATTAACATATTTTTATATTCCCAAAATTTCGAGTATAATTTGCACACTGAGCACTTTTGTTCCCAGGCCACGGGGAAAATAATATATTCGTAGACTTTGTACTACCCATGCTGACGGGGGGACCTTGGTGTTCAACGGCCTAATGTCATAGTTAAGCAAAGCTACGTTTAACTTAAACATTATTAATTTTGGTCCGATCTACGCAGAAATAGCTTTAGTATTTCGAAGTCTGGCAGTTGTATGCTTGGGACCTTGGGTCCCAAGCAGACTAAAGCACCCAGCCATCTTCTCTATTGAAATTGAATGTTTAATTAGTTCAAAACTAAAAGTTTAAAACGCCAAGAATATAAAAATAAGTTATTTAATGCTTAATAAGATCCATAACAAACTGTTTAAAACGGATTTAAATAAATGCGCGGATAAGGAACCGACCATAATCTATCACATCAATTTTCAAGAACAAATTTATAGATAAAGATACAATATTATTATTATTTATTATTATTATATATTTATTCAAGAAAATTTTACTTCACTTACTTCGTTGAGTTTCTTTATGTTAATTATATCTTACAGAATATATATACTGGTATTCTACCAGCGTAAAATAGCAGTTTCATGTGGCTGTGTTTCGTATGGTGAGTGTAGAGAACCGGAGACCTCTTTTACTGAAAACGAGGCATTCCATCTTAGTCCTCACGGGTGAAAACGTATCTGCATTTTGATTCGTAGTCGAGGATAGGTGTAGATGTCTATGAGCCACAGCAACTACTTACCATCAGGTGGAGTGTGTGCTCGTTTGTCACCCTTTAGCCCATAAAAAATTTTATTACTAATAATAAAATTAGTTTTGGAGACTAAACTTATTAACTTTTGCAAAAATTTGCTCATTTCTTATTAATACGAAAGCGTGCGTCTCACTTAATTACATCAATTGTAAGGGCTGGACGGATTTGAATTAAATTTAACAGAGAAGTCCGATAGAATTTAGAATTGGTTATGGAATACCTTTTATGTCTCACAGCTGGGCAAAGAAACCTTTGGTTTTCCATACTTTGGAGGGAGATGTCGCTAGCAAAAGCTAGTTTCATGTTAGTTTAAAGATAAAGATTATCTTTTGTTCTCAATAATAAAATAATAATGTACAAAATCGTAACTTCATAAACTTTGTTGTTTATTTTCCGCCTTGACATGTCAAAACGATTATATATAATATGAAGGTCTCATTAGATGATAACCAAGTTCGTTGCAAATTACAAGACGTGTATGTACACTCACTTGCTCGTTGCTATGTGTGGACTGCACTGTAAACACTAGTCTTTTCAATTTTAACACTAACTGTATAGCTATAACTAAAATGAAAACTACGTACACATGTGTACAATATGAGTGCACTATTAACACTAACGATTTAATTAATTGTTCACATTTAATTCAAATAATTTCGGCAGTGAATCCATATATCACTTCAGTCGGTTCTTTTGATAAAACTTATATAATTGATTCACACACATAAAGCGTAGCACACGAGTGTAAAACAGACCAGGGTATGGTCACGTAGAGATAAAAAAGATAAGGATGTATTAAGCATATGATTACCGCTCATTAATCATATAATGGCTTATTAGCTTTTTAACTATTGATTACTATATTAATCCTTCCATCACGGCATCCATGTTAAGACGTGCAAAGAAAAAAAGAGCCTTTAAGAGGCAAAAAGAAAAATAACGAAATCTATAATATAACACCACAATTAATAACTAACTACATCATATT